TCCTCCTCCTCCTCCTCCTCCTCCTCCTCCTCCTCCTCCTCCTCCTCCCCTCCTCCTCCTCCTCCTCCTCCTCCTCCTCCTCATTCTTCTTCTTCTTCTTCCTCCTCTTTTTGCAGCGCATTGTCTCCAGAAGTCGGAAATACTCCACTTTCCTTTTCCCTATCCCTCTCACCTGCCAAAAGGCGCTATGACGTCGGCTCTTGAGTGAGTTTTGCAGCATGAAGTTGAACGTTGTCGATTTTTTTAACCGATCAACAAAATTTCTGCCTTTGCCTTAGGGGAACTCGGTCTGTAAAGCAGTCAGGTTTGAATGCGGGTTTAAGAGGAGAGGTCAGAGTAGAGAGCATTATAAGTAGGATCGGCAGATTGACAGGAATATCGGCATGATTACCTTGTTGTCACTTTTTTCCCTTCTTTCTCTGATTTTGGACCCTCAGATGGGAGAAGATTGGTTAGTCGAGGGCATCATGGGTGGTGGTGATGTAGAAGTTTACAAATAAATAGTTTTTGGGAGATTCGGAGGGGGATCTCTCTTCCATCTCCACCATTCTACTACCTAACTGTATCCCCTCCTTTTGTCGCCACTCTTTGTACAGTTTTCTTGATACTTTTGATAAATCTTTTGTGTTATCTGAGAAACAGTGAAAGAGTTGGCGAGGGTGGGATGTATTTGGATAACCAGAAGGCCTTAAATAATACCCAGTCCCTCCGCTCGCAATTTTTCGCCCTCGCTTTTTCCCATTCAATTATCACAATGCCGAAATCCGTTCCGCATAGCCCGCTGTATCCTTTGGGGATACAACACTTATTTAAGACGCAAGTTTGGCAGAGCAGGAGGAGGAGTAACTGATCTATGGCATACAAACGTGCTCAGTCTCTTTAGCCTCCTCGATTTTGACTGCTGTCTTGGAGGCAAAGCCTCCTCTTGTGGACTCATTTGGACAGGAAAGGCTCTAAGCGCTGTTAGCGAGTGACGATTGGACTCTAAAGTTAGCAAACACATCAACAGTAAGTACTTATGTTGGTCACCCCCGAGGTAGCAATTTACAACTCTCAAGGGTGATTTAAAAGAACCCTTATTGAGAAGTCTTATAGGCCACAGGAACAATCATAGCTACCACAATTTATGTTTCAAGGCGAATAAAAGAGACCGCTTGTGTCATTTTTGATAAAGGGCTATAAAGAGCCATCGATACCACTTCCACCACCACTAGGGGCAGCCTCGGTGACATAAAGCACACGCAATATTACCACAGCTTAGCTAAAAGCCCCTTGCCACAAATAGTCTTTCTTGTCTTAAATTAAGTGACTTTGGCCCTTAATTTAATTGCTAATTACGGCCTTCTTTTAACAATGACATGGAAAAGAGGGTGTGGCCTAGAATAGGCGCTGATAACCACACCTTTTCCTTTGATCACGCCCTAAATAAAAGTATGCTTCTACGCAGCCGCAGTTGGCGTCAAGTCTGTGAAGGCAGTTGCCTCGTGATTGGTCAACCTGAAGGTCAGAGGGAAGATGTTTAAATATCTGCATCCCGGGGTTCCACCTAACTTTTTAACAAAGGCAGTGAATAGGGAAAAGGAGTAGAAGCTACTAGCTGGTCAACAATATCTAACTACACTTTTAAAAGTATAACAGAATCGATAGAAATAGTGCCTGCTTGTTTGAATACACCCATTAGGCAATAAGCGGACAGACTGTACCAGCATTGTGGCTAAATCGACGTTCTCATCTTCCACAAGAGGTAATAAACACTGATCCCTTCCATAAAACTTCCCTGATTTGGAAATCTCCCCATGCTACACAAGGTATGATTTTTTCCTGCAGTCAAATCTCTCTCCACTGATAAAAAAGAAATAAGGGAAACGCTGCATAGATTTTAATAATGTGGACTGTAAAGCGCACATGAGACAGCTCGGAAACCTCAGAGACATGCCCATGAGGGCCCTGTATAAGCACAGCAATATTTCAATGCAACATGGCCTAGGTTGTACAACTTAAGAAGATAAAGGACTTACAAAACTTTTCAACTTAAAAAAGTTCCAGCTTTTTAATTAAATAAATTAAAAAAAAATTAAGGCGGTGGGTCCTCCTTATTAGTGAAAAACCGTTGAAAGCCTACTTAAATAAATTTAAGTAGCAGACTATTTCAAAGAGGCAAATTTTCTTATAAACTTAAGCCTATGTGGCGTTACGTTTACTAAATACCGCAGGCTAACATCTTAATTGGGTCTTAATTGGTAAATAACTAATGGAGGGCTTTCTGTCTCCTCTTTATTTCTTCCCAGCTAATAAAGACACCACCTTAAGGATGATGGAAGGTAGCGTATTTCAGACCTTCAGGGCTAGAAGGAAAGGAACGCCCAGAGAGAATATCAAGACCTTCGCTAAAATCACTCCTAATTCAAACGCCTGCAGAGAGTATTTCAGAAGCTTAGCAGACAATCTTGCGTTTGGAAAGATGTGCTAGCCTTCATTCCTTCTTCGAGGTATTTTTTTCGCAAAAAAATTTATGTGCCTTGTCTAACTTCACTATCTTTACAACTTTTTCACAAATTTATAATTGGTCCAATGAGGAGTAAGTGGGGCATATTTTTTCATTCATTTTACCATAGTAAAGTACATCATGAATCTTTGTCTGTAAATAACTCAACGACGTTATGAGACGGTGTGGTATTTGAATCGGTCTAATATCTACGTGGGCGCTCCATGCTCTGCATACCACTCCCCTTCATGTCGCTTCCGCTGGCCGTCAACTGGCCGCTCGGTGTGCGTTTATAAAGCACAGATAAGGGTTAGTCTGGCGTTTCACCACCTTCATTTTGCGTCCTCGCTCTCCCCCACGCCCTCGCAGTATCAGTCCCTTCCCCCAACCCTTGGCATGTCAGTTGAATCTGACGCGTTAGTAGAAGTAAATAAACTAACCCAAGAACTGAAAAACATTTTACAGCAAGATTTTTATAACGTACGAAAAAGTTGCAATGGTAGGATGCTTTTAATTAATTTGATTTTGGTGATAAAATAATCCAGAAAAAAGCGCGCCAAAGTGTGGTTGACCCACCATTCTTCCGATTTGTAAGAACTGGATTTGCGTCACTCATTAGAATAATTCAGCAGTGACAAGTCTCAAAAACAACTTTCAGTGGTGAGTAGAGAAGCACTTCAACCACATTACTGGGTAGCGACAGTTGTAGTGGGGATGCGCGAACGGCTGTCAACCAATTGTCATGTATTAGCAGAAGATGACAAAAGCCCTCTGTGAATTTTTAACTGTTTTCTCACTGGATGATTGACTGACCGACTGACACTCGATGGGAGGTGGCTCTTGTACCCTAAACGTTAGTCGTGTGGAAACAGATATATCATTGAAAAAACCTCCAAACGGTCTACTTGCCATCGCTACAGACTTCTGAGGCACTGCTGAACTATCAGAGGGTCATGATTGGTATGTTTGTCTGATATGTCTAAAGCAGATTTTTTTGCTTACTACATGCTACACGTTTATCCACTACGATGGATCTCAGTAAAAAAGCAACAACAATAACAACAACAACAACAACAACAACAACAACAACAACAACAACGAAATCTCCACCTCAGAGGCATTCAACGCTAGTTTTTGGAAAGCACGTTCTCCTCTCGGACTTCTAACACAACAATAGGTCTCAAAAAACGGAATTTGTTATGAAGCGATCGTAGAGAGTAGAGTCGGAGAGAAGTAGAACACCGCCATTCTTCTTTATGCGTACTTGTTCGTACTCCACGGGCTGTACTTCCCTCCAAGAGGTGGTCACTTAACCTTGACATTAACCAATCACGTACCGGCCAGTAGGGGCATTTAAATTTGAAGGTGAGACAGTAGGTCAGCACTTTTTTCTCAACTTCTAGTGACTAAAATGGCAAAAAGAATTAAAACTAGATGGAGAATTTTGCCTTGTTCGGTAACTGGCATGCAAAGTGTCTTTCACGATATGAACCCCTCCCCCACTTTGCTGCCTTCTAAGTACAATTTTTTAGTAAATGTTTTTAATAAATTATTCAGATTACGTGCACAGCCTAAATTAACATTTTGGTGCCTTTGCTGGAAGATACGGCATTAGCTTTGCTAGGGATATTAACTTCCAATCCATTACCGACATTTACACTTCTCGAGATGACTGGCATTGCCATGTTTCTCTACAGAATCGGGCTACAATTGCCCAGCTTCCCTATTCTTTCTTATTTTATCCCAGAAGGTGATGAAAAAATTGCTTAAGAGATGGCTCTCATGCACTGCTATGTAACACTAGAATGGATGATCGACAATCCCGCCAAATGGTGAGACAAACTAGAGGCTGTCTTATTCCAGCGAAAAGACTAACACAAGGTTTGCCATAAGTTGATCAACTCTTCGTCAACGTATCAGTGCATTCTTTTTAAATCAAAAGATGAAATTCCACTGGATAAGGATCCTTACTTTACTTGCACCGACTTCACAAATTCGACTAAAAATTTGAAAAAGTTGTTTGTGCTAAGTAAAATTACTTTTTCCGTTTTCCTTTTGCTGAGGATATCTGCTTAATCTCTGCCTAACGGTTGTGTTGAGTGGTTTAAAGCCTCCCATTACTGCGGGTAATTCTCTAACATTCTGGAAGCTGTGCTCTTTCTCCTTCCTTTCTGATTGACTGCGACTACATTTTGAATACCCCCTCAGTACACCGAGAGTCACTCTTAGCTTAGAGTCAATGCATTGCTATACGTAGGCATGGCTAGGTCGGCTGGGTGATCTGTCTTAAGATGCAAGCATCTACTCCGCCTTCGGCAGTCTACGCGACTCAACAACTAGGCGCATATGCAACCTCTAGCCTTTGTCCATTGTTTACCTGGGTAGTGAATTTAAGACGATCCGGCCCCATCAAGCACAGGAACTTCTGTTTACAACACTGCCAATGTTGCTTATGAAACCTTCTTACATTATCTTAAAATCATGCAAATTTTTTAAAATAGGCGTGGTTAATGTTTTGCAGTTAAATTTTGTTTTCCTACGCATCATTTGCATGCAATCAATCGCCTACTGAAATTATTTAAGTAGACCGTTCCTCTGCCTTAATGACCAAGTTGGTTACATGGATAGTTCCTTGTTGTTACCAGGATCATTTTCGTAGCAATATAACAGCCTACGACTTTAAAGGGGACTCGAGACAAATAAAACTAAGCCGAAGGGCCATTAATCACATTTATTTGACCGCTTCCCAAATCCTAACGCCTAAGAAAGACGGTGTCTGCTGCATAATACTAAATCGGCGGAAAGCTGAGGTACAGATGAGCTAAAATGGCGTTGAACCTTGGCAAATATCCTAATTTTTGAGTTCTGTAAGGAGGCAATTAACAGCCGACAAGACACTTGACTTGTGTAATCTGAAAACTTTTATTGCTGCGCTGCCTATGATACCTACGTCAAGCCAAGAGATTTACCTAACCAGATGTTACCGGTTTACTAAAAGCCCGACAGACGGTTGTGACACTTTGGAATACACAAAAAGCGGTAGGGTAGAAGGGATGAAGAAGATTAGGTCCATTAATCCAGCTTAAAACACGGGATATCGTTCACTGTATAGGTCCGCATCTAGATAAATGGCACTAAGGATCACGATTGACGTATTGGCAGCACCTGTTACAAAACAACGTCTAGTCTTAAGCAGTGCCAAGGTAATGAATTATCCGGCTTAGTGCTGCCTAGCAAGAAACCGAAACTTTGCGAACTCTGGAATCACCGAGGTGTATCAATGGCGCTGACTTCAATATTGTCCTGGCTACGCAAAAATGCAGCAACTACTCTTCCTTTCTAGTAGGGGTGAGGAAGTTTCGGAGCCATGGTATAAAGGAGAAGGGAAGAATGCGTAAATTTGGTGTTTGTTTTAACGTTCACTTAAATGCGTGGACTCTTCAACCTCCGTGATTTGCATGTTCGTTCCTCTTACTCCCATGCACATTAATAATAAATTTTGCTCTTTTGTAGTTTAAATACTATGGCAATACAACCTCAACTTACTAACTAGCTTCCACTCTTCATCAAGACCTCAGAGAGACGTTCTTAAATATTTCTTGTGGTGTAAGCATTGTTTAAATGTGCAGTCGGTGATGCAGATTCTTGAGTCTTTCCGACCTTCACCACCGATTCAATAATACGGCCTCTCATTGAAGCCTTCAGTCTCCGTTTGCACTACACCTCTGCATCATTCGACAAAGACGATATGTTTCTCTAAGACTGACCGGGGGGCTATCCTGCTGCAATATATATGTGGTAGCTTATTAGCATTACATGACGCAATGGAACACAACCAAGCCACTACGTTGCTTTTAATTGAGGACAAAGTGGCAGGGAGACGAAAAATTTTACAGAACACCTGCCAGATGGAAGCTCGCTAGTTCAAAAGCTAGACTTTTAAAAATATATTCAAATGGCTTGTGTTTGGCATGGTAAGGTCAAATGGTTTACCTAATAGTGTTCATCAGTAACCACCGGGAAGCGAAAAAATGAGACACTTTTTATAAAGGAACTTGTATATTTACAAGATTGCGCACAAAGACCCATCTTGAAAACTTACGAAATTCCGCCTACTGATTTTCATTCAGTAGGCCTTTTAAGTAGACAGCCAGTAGGATGCGAAAAGCTTTGCGAGCTAGAATGATAGGATTTAGAAGGGCCTCTACTTTTAGCAGAAATACTTACCTTCCAAAGCTGCATGCTTCAGTTGTTCTAAAGCCTTTGAAACACGCTGTCCCTCTGGTGTTGTTTTTAAGAATCTTCTAGCCTCTCTGATGATGCCCAGTACACCCTACAGGAGTGTGGGAGGAAAGTGAATACTTAGGGACAGGAAAATCAGTTTTAGGGAAAATACAAAGAAAATCCTTTTAACGACAGTAAAATAAAGATAAAATGTTGAAGTCGATGGCTTGCAAAAATTACGCATCATTAGAAAAGGTGCGAGGTGATGTAGAGACCAACTCCCATCTTTTTAGAGTAACAAAGAAATTTTTAATGTTAATAGAAAATCAAGGACCATTTAACTTAGTCTTTGTCAAATTTTATTACTACTTTTGGTATTAATTTGGGTGGAAGTCTGCGTTCTGATCTTCCACGTTGTCCATCTAGCTCAATTATCAACCCTATATGCCACTTTTTGATCAGAAAAATTTAAAAAGGGGAAATTCTGGCTTTGTAAAATAATGTCATGAATGCTCCTTTGAGTGTGGACACTTTAACTTAGGAAATACTGTGACCAAATCTCAAATATTATAAAAGAAGTTTCAACAACTTATAGGACCCGGGGATGTGGAGAGAGAACCGAAAGGAGGGAAACGTACCTCATCACTAAAATCCAAACAAAAGAAATGAAAATAAATTACTGGCAAAGGTAAGAATAGGGTTTAATCAAAGGGACCATCTTACTTAGCTGATGCGAGAGCGAGGAGGGTAGAGAAAACGAGAAGAATGACAAGGATATTTCGCATAGTCTTGAGCGTCCGTTTGGCAGCCAACGCGATTGATGACCACCACTGTTTACTGGTGGGTTTATATAGGCGCAAAGACGCACACACACGCACATGTGCGTGTGCACGGTGAACTAATGACCCTGGCATCGAGACCTCAATTGGGTGTTTAGAGCCCCCTTCCGTAATCCGCGCCAGTTCCATTGTAACCTGTGACTTCATTGTTGACGTAATGGAACTAGGTCATGTGCGTGTGACATGCGCTTCAGTTAATGCCAGGACCAAAAAAGTGGAATTGGTTGTTAAGCCCGCGAGGGAGGGGGGTCTTGGAGTTGTTCGCAGTGCCTAAGTGACATGTGAGAACCGTCAGCCCTGACCAATCCCGATGGTCAAGTCGCGGACCAATGGAAATGCCTAGAGGAGATCTGAAATGTGGGAGAGTGAATTTCGAGTTGTCATCAAAGGGACAATTAAGCTTGTAAATAGTGATTTAGTCTGCGAAAATTCCTTTTGAGAGGTGCAAGGGATCGTCTGTCATACCCTACTTCAAGAGATTTGCATCACTAAGACTAGAATCGTTCTTTTACGCTTTTTGGAATACAGGAGTAAGCAGTGAACCAATTCTCATGCCTGGAGCCGTACAAACTCTGGAATTCTTCTTTTTTACTCAAAAGGTGAGGTCATTAAAACAGTCAAGAAGTTGTGAAACCATCCACTCTTAAGGTTTCCATTCAGCTTCGTCCGATATTAGTTTGGCCCGTTAAGCGGCAGACACTATTTTGCCATACAATGAACAAATAAAGCCAAAGGTCGTTGATTAATGAACTCACTCACTAGAATGGCATTTTCTTGAAGAATTGACACTATGAAAGGTCGTTCTGAGGTAGCAACATTGAAGAAATGGGTCTACGTGGTCTTCCCATTGGTTACACACATAAAAGCTTGAAAGGCGACTCATTTCCCCTGTGACTTTACACTTATGTCAGCGGCTGTACAAAAAGCCATTTGAGCAGAAAATTTTTTGGCAAAACAGGGGTTCATCCAAAGTTTTGACTTAATTCTGTCCATTAGCATTTTTTCTTTGTTGGCTTGGAGTCCAATGTGGGTCCACTCGCTTCCGAAGCCCAAACGTTCCCTGTCCTTGATGCCATTTTTGTAGCAAGGGGGAAACCAACATCAGTGGCGGCCCGATTGTGCCAGGAGTGCCAAGTTTTCTTAACAGCTCCAATATTTTTATCCATGCAGATCAAAGAATGCCCTGTCATACCTTCACCTCCCTCCCCTGTTTTTGCCACATCATCATAAAAGCAGTGCCCAGTTATTTTATGACTACAAAACGTAACAAAATGTCTGCAAGAAGCCTCATCTGCCCCGGAGAGACTACCCTTCACGCATTAAGCAGATCAAAATTAAGCTCTCAACTTTCTTGAGCTAAAAGACGGATGACAGCTGTGCTTGGCTGGTCAATGAGAAGGCCACCAATCCACAAACCGGAGATCCTACGACGTGATAACGAACCTAAGTAATAAAAGGAGGAACGAATCTTCAGTTTGATTTACGTCATGACGTGGGTGTGGATGGCAAATCCTTTATAAATTCACATTGATTTGACAGCTATTTCTCTCTTTAAACATCCACCATTCACCTGACATCTGTGAAAGGTAAATAAAGAAGGTTTATTTAAATTTGGCTTAAATGTTCACGGCGTAGTGTAGTTGTGTTTACAGTTGTTACCTCAACTTTACACCCTATGTTTACTCAATCAGTAGGCTTCTACCTTCTCTTGATTAACTACTGAATTAAGTCCTTCATCCGATTTAAGTAGTATGCTGAACTCAAAAGAGGATCTTAATGGTATATTTTACATAATACAGTAAATTATTTAAAAAACTCACTCATGTGAGAAATTATTTTAAAAGCTCGCAGATTATTACAAAATTTGGGGACAAAAGCTTGGTATAGTCTTTTTTTGCCATAAATACAAGGCGAAAAATCCCATTGGCTGATCACAAATCCACCGCTATATTAAATTGGCGCTTTTGCTTACTTTTGTTTATACTCTCTTGCCATAGTAGCGTGAAGTGGGTGTGTGCCAATGGTTATCTTACCTTAATAGACAAAACCGTCCAACGTAAGCCAATCGGTTTATCGTTCCACGTGGATTTTTCCACTTCCTGTAACGCGAACGCTAAATCGGTGGCCGGGCGATGGAACGCGTTTACCGCTTTTTGCTTTTTGTCAACAACAAGGTTGTCGTTACTGGGGCTTATTGTAGAAAAAATTTTCAAATGACCTGTGAATGGTTCAGTCTGCGGTGCCTCACAAACGAAGGATCAAGTGCTTGCAGTTCTGCCTTAAAGAGCGTTTAACGATGCAAGAAAGGTGCAGATAAAGATTCTTTTTGGCAATTAAAGAATATAACCCTCTAAAAATAAACTGTGGCATTTCCGATTAAGTGAGTTTTTACTGCTATACCTCCTGGTCACTAGTCTTCAGCCTCTCTAGTCATGCATAAAGCCATAAGTGCCACGTCACTGCGTGCAGAGAGGCCGAGGGTTACTGGTATGACCTCTCGGCATTTTGTATGCCACGAGCTATTTCATGGACACATTAGTCTGGAGGTAGATTTGTGCAATAAGACAATGTGAAGAGGCTTCACTGAGCAGTTAGCCTTGATTTATTGTTCCTTGTCAAGTCAATCCCAGTTCATCTCCACCCAGCCATTTATCTGGGCTCCATTCAGCTGCCAGGAATCTGGAGAAGGTCCTGTTTGCTAACTTATTTTCTACAAATTAATCTACGTACCAAAACGCCTTTAAAATAGGTGCCTTTATATAATTTAAGTGTAGAATCTCTTCGGTCATTTATTGCTTCGTTATAAAACGCAGGATTGGATTGACTGTGGAAAGCTGTTAGGACCTCTACCACCCTGGTCGTTCACGGGCTATACCTTCTTCAGTAACACTTACATTGGTTATTTATTACCACTTGTGGGAAAAATTTACTTACCACTGTCAAAAGTATGGCTAAATGAGTCCTTTATAGAGCCATAGTAAGGCATAACAATTCAGGGGAGTGATTGAGGGCCTAAGAAGGTGGTCTTTTGGCTACAGCGCGAGGATTCGGTCTTAACAAGGAGTCCCAAACTAAGGACGGCTCAAGAGCTGGCGCAGCTGTTAAATGTGTGATTAATGCCGGTGCTATTGCGCTGTTAGCATGTAAAAAGGCCTCCGACTTTAGTCAATACGTAGGCAAACGGTTATGAACACTTCCTGAAACAAAAATAATCAACGAATAGTTCACTATTTCTAAATGGAATCAATGATTGGTTTCTTAACCTTTTAACAACCAGGTGCTTTTGAAAAAGTGTATATAGCTGAACAGAGCATAAATGTCCTGACGGGGGGCTAACGGAATGGCCAAAAGCTGACATATATCGGATGTAAAAGCACAATAGTCTTGCTACTCATGTACGATATATAAGTAGTATTCCACATTTTGATGCTCATTAGTAAGTGTTTAGCCTAAGGTGTCGCGCAGACATTGTGAATTTTGATACAAACATATAAAACGATTTAATCGTGCTGCAGCAGAGGTTGCTACTTACGTGCATATAAGTAGAGTGGGCACGGAGCTACGCTGCATAGTGAATTCTACTTTTCTTATTTTACACAAAACATAACCAACAAAGAAACCAGATTGGTCAGCACAGTTCATCAAAGAGGTCATTTGTAGCCATTGCCTCTACAAAGCCATTGGTAGCAAATTTCAACTTTATGGAATATATTTTCTTGAAAAGTAACTTTAGAAGCAAAAAATAAGTGCCCTCTCCTCTGTTTGATACGACTTTACGGGATGTAAAGAAAAGGCGATCATTGTCTTTAAGGGACTTATTGCAGAAGTAATATGGGAAAATGACTACGTATAACAGGATGAGGTAGTGTTGCAAATAAGTTTTGGGGCATAGTGACCTGTGTCAGCCTTTAAACTTAAAATATAAAATTTACTGCAAGTAATTTGCCAAATTTACCCTTCTTCTTAATAAAAACTATTTTTCACACTTCCAAATTTTCATTGAGCTTTATTGTATTGGGCTTGGACCTCAAGAGTAACTGTTTGGCCTTCGAAAAGGAAATCAGGATGAAAAACTCCATCCACAAGGCACTACAAGCAAATTAAGTAGGTGTCTTTGAAAATAAAGTAGTGCATGATTGAAAACTGCGAAAATGGTTGACGAAGTCTGTTCATTCCCAACACACATCAGCCAGCTATTAGCCAGCAGACAGGGAGCCTGAATTAAACATGACATGGGGTGGCACAGTGTGCAAATAGGGAGTCCCTGGGTAGCGCTGCCGATTGATGTCATTGTACGATGAATGGATGGAACCTATTTGTTTCTCCACCTCCAGTAGTTGCGGGAATTGCAGTTGCGAGGAGTTTATTACCGATCGCAATAACGACCATAGTCGTACCGTTGCATTGACGCATATCGAAGCTTTGCAATGCGTTCAAAATGTAGAATCCTAATGCTTTGCAGTAGCCAGAAAAATAATTTAATGAGCTCTAACAAAAGATCAGTTATTCCTGAATGATATTTTCAAATTACTGTCAAAGCGACGGCTTTCAATGGGATGTATGCTTTATACTAGAAAGGACATATAAGCTTTTGTTTTCGTGGTTGATCATAAACTAATCGGAACTTATCCCCTAAAAAGTGCTAAAGTCTACTCCATTAAGTAAGAAAAGGCAAATATAACTTTTTTGGCCTCGAAAAAAAAGGGTTCTATCGATCATGCAAAGTATCGTAATAACAGGTAATGGAGATAGCAGCCGTTATTGAAAGAGTTTTTCCAATTGGCTAAAGAAAACCAACAAAAAGGCGATTACAAGATGATGCGATCTGGGTATATCTCCCAATGCTCGTCATCAGGTTTTGAGAAAGCGCTTCGGACCGCTGAACAGCTCCGGCGATCTTCCATTTTTGACGCCATCCACTTCTGTATAAAATAATGCTGTACGATTTCGGGCCTGCAACGATAATTATACGCCTGATTAACAGTTGACATCCATCAGGAAGGATTTTTTTACTTTTCAGTTAGTTAGATAGACTCACGGCACACCTTAAGATCTACTTTGGGTCAGAACAAGGAGATATTTAGTGTATCTTAAATTTTTCTGCTAAGTATTTGTCGCATTTTTGTCTTAGGCATATTCGAACTTTTACAGTTCCTTTCAGGGGGCTCTATGTGAAAGAAGGTTAGTTGCTCCGGAACTTTTCAGTGAGCCAGCATTCCGCCCACAATAGCACCATACAAAAGACCACTATTCCTTCCTCTTTGAGGCTTTGAGTTATCGGTATTGCTGAATGGCTTGATTGTAGGAGTTGCTGCTTTTCCAGTCAGAAGGATAGTCACGTGCCAGTATAGAAGGCAAACAGTCATTTGCGGAGTAAAAAAGTAAAAAAACTCCAAAGCACTTTTAATATCATTTGTGGACTATCACTTCATAATTTATCACTGAATGTTCGTTTCCCTTCAGCCATTCAGTTGCAAAATTCACTTGTTCGAGGTGTGCGCACGCGCGAGCCTATCATCAACCAATGAGGCAACAGGATGTGCAACCCCCTCTTCGCACGTCAGCATGATGCGCGCTTCTCATTGGCAGATGGGTGCGGTGCGAGTGCGCACGTGTGGGCAAGGGAGACGCTTTTTCGGCGATAAACAGAATGCGGATTGTCACAAACGGTGTAATATTTCCACAGGTGGCAAAGGTACGTATGTGCATTGATGGCCTTTACTTTTTCCATTCTTTTGGTCATTTTTTGTGCATATTTTCATTAGTGCTACCTAAACCTGCCTTAATAATTTGATCAGTGGGAGGAGAATTTGGATGGATGATCGAAGCGCCAAATGCTGTTTTGTTAAAATTCCTTTGAAGGCAACATAAAACTTTTTGAGCATGCTTATTCTTACGACTTTTTCCGTTTATTTAGTATGAAATAGAGATGCCAAAGATCTTGACCCCAATAAATAATTCACCACGCTTTTCACAGATGGCATAAAATATTTTTGAAAAGTATCTGTATAGAGGGATGAAGAACTCAAGTAGCTTTTTCTAAAGAAGTGCATAAGTGTGGAAAATCTCTTGAAGCATTATATCACTTTATGAAATAGTTGCCTTCGCAACCTCTGCGTCGTTCCCATTAAAACACTAACTAGCCAAGAATTCCACTTTAATCAAAAAATTTGCCTCTGTCGCTTTTTTACTGCTATCTCCCACCTCTCTGCCTCGAAGGTGATAGGCGTTGAGGTTAATACTGTGTGGCCATGTTTAATCTTACTCTATAGCGTGTTTCCTCCGTCAGACTTGCGTAATTTATATGCTTGAAGTAAAAGTGGTTGCTAGACCACGAAAGAGTTTTAGCTCGCACGTTGAAAATCATCAAGTGGTTGTTGAAAGCGCAAAACCATCAGCGTTTATTATGTGTGTGCCTATGATATATCCAGAGCGTTCCATCCTTGAGGAAGAAGGACTCGAAGTCTAGGTTACAAAGGGCGAAGAGTGAAGAGTTCGGGAAGTTAACTAAACATGAAAAAGAAACTTCTTAAATGGCACGACTCCCCTCGTCCTTTATTGAGCATCGAGGTGTCGAAAAGGGTGGTCATAAAGGCGAGAAGACATTTCAGCCTTTTGTGTCAGTAATTGGCTTTTTAACTCCATTGTATGCGGAGGTTCAACTTCATGGGTCTAACATTTTACATTCCTATTAATCTACAACGCGCTACGCATGTTGTAGTAGCCTGGCCGTCTATCAAGGTGTTGATTGGTCACTAGAGGGGTGAAGTCAATGCCATTTGCTCTCGTAATTTCCATAATTTTTTGAATAGTCCAAAGAAGCCTTGTCTCAAAATCCAGTTTGAGATTACTGTCAACAATGAATGCAACAAGGTATGAAATTCTACAAAATGCCCCATTTTCTACAAACGTCTTCCTCTCTTGGCGTTGGAGCCCGGTTATTATTTATTGGAATCAGGATGCTCACTCCTTTAGATCGGGTTTGATCATGGCTACAGCAAAAAGGGAGGAGTGAATGGTTATAAGTGTACCCGAAAAGCTCTGACGCCAAAACGTAGACGACAGAAATGTAGCTGTCAAATATTTCATGAAACGAATTACTTCACCTATCCCCCTGGTGACCGCCCACCGTAATTTTCCCGATGATTGCGCAAAACCTTCTTAGTAGAGGCTATAAAGGCCTGAGGAGCCAGTATAGGTGGAAACCAAACCGCACATTTACTTCTTCCGATATGTTCTCACCTTCGTCACGTGGTAGTGGACATCTAGAGACCTCGCCTTCCATGTCATGAGCAGTGCGGCTTCTGACTTAAGTATTCTCAGTATACTGGTAGAAAAACTTTTCTCCTTCATATTGTCCACATACGAGAAAATCTGTCATGTACTAAATTCTTTAACGATGTCACCAAATTCTGGGCGCATTTAATCACTCATCAAATGGAATTCCATCGCACACAGCCAACTTGCCCCTTAAAGCAAATCCTATTCCACATTGCTACCCTTTTGCCTTTTTGGGTGTCTTTTTTTAATGCTCCTTGCGTCAAGATCATCAAAAGAAGGAAATGGGACATAGTAGAACCACCCAAGAGGCTGGTGTGAGGAGCATACAATTCGAGATTTCGTATGGTGCTCAGACATTTGGGCTCACTACGATGTCAAATGTCAATTAATATACGTGGAAGCATCCACCACAAAGCACAAGAAGGAGATGGAATTGAGTTTCCATTTCCATTCCCATCTCTTTAACGCCACCGCAGTGATTCATTTCTCATTGCTTTGCCAGCTTCCGAAATAAGGAGGCACTGCAATAGTTTCACTCCATTAATCACACGATCTGGATAACCTTAGGATTAATCTCCCCCAATTCAGCCCTTCAATCATCCCTCACCTCTTCAGAACTCCTTATTCATATTAAAAGTTAATCAGTAGACGAATGCGTAACTATTCACCTATCCTAGAGGGAAGACTACAACCGCGTGTGATCCTTGTGCTGTTCTAACCTGTTCTTGGGCTTTGTCCATCCGTTTGTTATTGCATCGGGCATAACAGGGGGCTGCATTAGGGTTATGTGCACGCGTTCGTCATGTATCAACTTACCCTCAAAGTGTACACCTGTGGAGCGCCACCAGGCGGATGAAACCCGATGCCACTCGCTACTTTGCGCTCTTACTCGCATTCTCTAAATGTGGATGCTCTTGGCATGCTCGATGACAGCATGCGCAAATTGTAGGTACTTTGTACCGCTTGCACAAGGACCATGGAACACTGCTGTAAATGGCACCAACACCAAGAATAACAAGAACGCCAACGAAAGCAGACAGAAGTGGCGGTTGCAACTGCTTTGTGGTAAATGGGTGACAATAGGGATAGATGGAAATGGTCCCCTGCCTTATTTGTGGTTCCAAGTTGTTAGCACCTTTGGAATATGATGTTCAAAAAATGGAATGAAAAGAATTGCATTCGTTAAATCCGTGTCGGAAAAGGCTTAAAAATTGTCATAGTTCCGACGAGGAAGACACTTTATCAATTCCCGGTTTGTTGCAAGTAAGTAGACTTCATTTTTGGCATCAGCCTATTACGTCCACCTAAGAGAGGCTATGCCGGTGTGAGGTCTACCGTTATACTTCCAGACTGAGAATGAGCCCTTCCCCTCAATGACTGTATGGCTAGAACATTGACGTACTTCCAGGAAAAAGCCACCTTGCACGCCTCTGAGTGGTACTGTGTGGACCTCAGTCGGAGCTGTTTAAACTACCAAGTAATTAGTGGTGGGCAAATGCGGCCGCTGACCACTACAACCGCGCATATGGGGGAGGCACGGTGGTCTGATAATGGAGGGCGTTGTGCTTCAGAATTTAGGCGTAGACAAGAAGGGGGGTCGTTTAAAGCCCTCCAATGGTGTATCCACCCACACAACTAACATTAAAACACAAAACCATCAGCCCATCGCATGCCAGTCAATCTGTCAGTAAGAAAACAATTTTGTAACACAGTTAAAAAGTGAGTAGCAAATGGCAGCCTTTTGAAACTCACTGTAAACTGCAGTCAGCGCATAATAGTTAGGTGGAAGGTGTTTGCATGGCCTCCACAACTACTTTCGCTTTCCATATGATGTGGTAGACGTGATTCACTATTTACTATTAACTACTCAAAGTTGTTTCGGAGACATGTCACTCTCGAATTTCTTTAACCAATAATGACATCCAAGTTCCCTTAGTTTGAAAGACAAGGGGGTCATTTACAACTTGGCGCCTGCGAATGATACATTCAACTACGCCTTATCACACCTTCTTCAACACTCTAGAATAAATTAAGCTAGAAGTTGGGGGATTCAAATTATTGGGGGTGAGAGGACGAGGGCGAGGACAGCTTTGCTAGGCCGATGCTTACATTTCATTTATTTTTTACATATTCTACTAAGTTACAACAAATCAGATCAGAAAGCCGTGTTGGCAACCACAAGAACACTGTTGTTACCTAACCTATCAACCAATCAATCAATCAGCCTATCAATCGACCAACCAAGAACTTCTTCTATTTCATTGAGAGTAATTTATTTTTATCAAATTCTTTTCAAGCAATAGAATTTTTACTAAAAAGTTTTTGGTTTGGTGTCCCCTAGATTTTGACATATTTTGAGGTCTTGTCAACCTCCTTCCACCAATTTATACTTTGCCTGACCACATATTACTTTATTAGGCAAACGTGTATAAAACGAGGGTTTTTTTCAAAAATCTTTGTCAAAACGCAGAAGGAGCAACAAGTATTTTACGAGTAAATAATTTCTGACCTATTGAATTCTTTTTTTCCTTCTTTTCGCCCTACCTAATATCTGCTTCAAGGGAGTTGATGAAACTCCACAAACATGCATTTATGCACGACAGAAAGTTAAGCAGTGCATGAATGAGGTTTTTCAACTTGTCCTTCCTTGGAGTGTCATGTAAAGTGAGGAATGAAATAATTACTTTATCATTTGGAAACCGCGCGTATATTAGTAGGCTCAAGAAGAAATTGGCCTCAAATGCCGAATTTTATTTATAAATAATGTATGGACCTATTTTTAAAGGATTTAACCTCATTGGGCTTGATATTTGACATGTTTCCCGGCCTCCTTTAGCCTACGTAAAAAAACGCAATGTGTAGGATCATCCCATTAGCCTTTCTCCGAAAGCGGTCATGCAAGATGGAGAGTTCTGAGGCCCCTCTGCAAACTAACACCAATTTGGCAAAATATTTGTCGGCGACATCATCACAGGGTTGAGAAACTGTAGGCAGAGATTCCCGCAGAAGCACAGCCTAGTGTAGATGTAAGAATCAGCAGAGGCGCATACGAACTTAAGCAAATATTAGTTCATTACAGAGTATTTAATAAACCATCTTAACCTGAACTGCTTATTTGCAAAAAAATGTCTTTTTTTGTGACTCATTAGCATAATAGATGCCAAGCATCTGTTGGAGTTCTTCAAAAATATCGAATGGTATGGGAAATGCGTCGTTGCTTCCAGCTAAAGAGAAACGAGAACCATGTCATAGATAAAATCTACCAAAAAACTCATTTTTCACAAATTAAGGTCATTTATTATTAGATATTAAAAATTACAGGTGCAGCTTCTACTAGAGGAGAGCTAAGTACAGGATTTTTAAATAATATTTTGACCCAAACCTCACCTACGAACTTATACAATGCGGAAAATTAACTCGCAAAATGTTTGTAGTGAACGAAAGATGTGTAGATAAAGATGAGAGATAAACACATCTTCATAGTGTGACCGCTTAATACGCCACCCAGTGAACCCCATTCGTTATCAGTGGGAAGAAGCGTAACATATTTGGTTAGTAAACTGAAATTGCTATAACTTTTTCTAGCCTACTTATATCAGAAA